TTTTTCTGATGCTTTTCCCATGGTAGATTGAATTTACGAGGTTTTGAGAGACTGCCATTCTCAATACATTGTACATGTTGACTTGTCATTACTGATGTTAATTAACTTTGATCACCTGGTCAAGGTAGTTTTTGTTCTGAATTGTTTTTATTTAAGTGCCTGTCTGTCCGACTGGTAGCTATGATGCGCGCTGACCACAGGGGGCAGATGCTCAATGCAAGAGCTACCATGACAAGCACTGGCCATTTAAAAATAAATGGCACCACAAACGTGGCACTGACAAACTAATGCTGGGCTTCTCCCAAGTGGGACACAAGCCCCACCAGCAGAGTGACACCCCACCAAATCGCAGCCAATGCTGCCAAGACCCCATGGTGCAAAATGTGTCCCACAGCCCAGTTGGGTAATGACATCACGTAGCAATGCTCAACTTCCTTTCCCTATCAACTAGCTTCCTTGGAGTTTCTTTAGCCCAGGAACCTGACTTGCTTTATAACCAGGTGGAAACATTTACACTGGAACCCAATGTCTGTGAAGCATTTTCCCATGCCTCATCTCATTTGATCCTCAAAGAAGTCCTGAAGTAGGTAGATAGGAGACTCACAGAAAGGTGAAGTATCTTGTCTAACACTGCACAGCTAATAAGAGGGCTTACTCTGAACCACTAGCCTATATATCTTTGCTATATATGGCAATGAGACCTGGCTCCTAAAATAACCTCTTAATGAATATTGCACAGAGGTGGCGCATTTGGGGTTGTCTGCAGAATTAGCCCAGCCCAGCTAGCATGGCATTCCAGCCTTCCCTGAACAGCATCCTACACACTCTATGCATGCTCTCTCTAAGGCTGGTTTCCCGCCATGCCCTCAACACACCTGCTTTATCCTGCTGCTGCTGCCTTGAATGTCTTTCACTATATATATTCTTTTCTTTTTAATTAAAAAAAATTATTTCAGAGAGGAAGGGAGAGAGAGATAGAAACGTACCAGTAAACAATGAGAGAGAATCATTGATTGGCTGCCTCCTGCACACCCCACTCTGGGGAATCCAGCCCACAGACATATTCCCTGACCAGGAATTGAACTGTGACCTCCTGGTTCATAGGTCAATGCTCAACCACTGAGCAACACCGGCCAAGCTTTCTCTCTGTATCTATTTAAATCTCCAATTCCCTGACCATGAGTAGAAATAACTTTGTTCTCCTCTTTATTACCACCAGGCCTTGTCCCTGACGCACAAACTTGCCTCATTCTGCCTCCGAGTTTTGCACATATGTTCAATATCCTCTCTTAAACTCACGGTTTCTGGAGGCCAGGTATCTTGCCACATAGCAGTAATGCCTTCTGGAATAGGACCTCAATAAATATAATCGAATCAGGCAGTTCCTATTTCAAAAGTCAACTCTTTGATTGACTCATTTACTACTTGCTTCTGAGTGGCATGATCTGCCTATACATCTATTCTTGCAATATTACCAATAAGATTTCACTTTGTCATCATATTTTATACAGGGTTTTATTGTAGCTGACAGATCAATAGTGCATACCTAGTTAGAAGCATAGGTCAGGCCTGGTCTGTGATTGAGAGGCTCCCCGTCGTTCTGCCTTTGAAATAATGAAAGAGTTGGACCAGTCTGTTGCTGCTGGCTGTCACCTTGCCTGGTTACACGAGCCCTCTGGGCCTCCCTCACAGGGTGTTTGTGAGGGTTATTGAGATCAGGAATAGAACCCCCTGACATAAATAGGAATGAGTGTTAACAGGAGCTGGATCTCTCTGTATGTGATGTGTGTACAACTTGTTCGATCCTTGTAACAGACTTATGTGGTAACTACTCATCTCCATTTTATAGGTTTGAAAACAGAGGCACAGAGAAGTTAAGTAGCACATGTAATGCTGCACAGGGAGTGAGGAGCAGACCTCACAGTTGGACTCAGAACATCAACCCTAAAACTAAGACATTCTCTCTCTTTAGATAGTGGATGGGAAGAATGTATAGAGATAGCCCGAGACCATCGCTATCTCCCATTTACTTGGTTTCTCAAAAAGAAAAAAAAATGCAGCAAATGAGTGTCTCATATACAAGGTGTCCCCAAAATGTATATACACTGTAACAGTTGATAGCTCAATTAAAATATATATATATATTATTGATTTTTTTACAGAGAGGAAGGGAGAGGGATAGAGTTAGAAACATCAATGAGAGAGAAACATCAATGAGCTGCCTCCTGCACACCCCCCACTGGGGGTATGCCCACAACCAAGGTACATGCCCTTGACTGGAATCGAACCTGGGACTTTTCAGTCCACAGGCTGAAGCTCTAAAAACTGAGCCAAATCGGTTTCGGCGCTGACAGCTCAATTATGAAAATCAAATGTATTTTCATAAACATTGCCTTTATAATTATTAAAGTGTTATATACATTTTTGAGTAGTTAGCATGTAAGTGTGTTACAAGGATCAGACAAGCTGTGCACATAACACATACAGAGAGTCCCAACCCCTATTAACCCTCACCCTGTATTTAAGGAATGAGCTGGATTCTTGCAAAGCCAATTCAAATCCTGATGTGAATACTGCGTTCCTTGTTTCTGACCTTAGATCTCTTTCTACACATCTTTCACTACAGTGAGAATCTAATTCCTAGTGAGTGACCACGCTTCACTATTAGGCTGCAGGGAACACGGTGGGCACCGGGCCTTACAGTGATGAGGATGGAAGCCTGTGGCCTGGGTCACACAAACTTGTGTTCTTGCCGAAATGGTTTGGCTCAATAGATAGAGCGTCAGTTTGCGGATTGTAGGGTCCCAGGTTCGATTCTGGTCAAGGGGGTTGTGCAGGAGGCAGCTGGTCGATGTCTCTCTCTCATCGATGTTTCTAGCTCTCTATCCCTTTCCCTTCCTCTCTGTAAAAAATCAGTAAAACATATTTTAAAAAAAACAACAACTTATGTTCTTCACTGCACTGACAGAAACCCCACATGACAACTTTATGACTCCAAAAATGGGTTACCAGTCCTAGAATATAAAATAATTGGAGATGCTGGCTTCCCCTAAAACGAACTATGCAAACACAAGAGTAAATTCCAGCCAAATTCTGGCAATTATCTCTGACAGCATAAACACAATGTCTTATTGGCAAACACTGTACCTGGATCTCTCAAAATGGTGCGTGATATCCAAGGTACCAGGAGCTGCAGAAGAAATGCCAGTAGACATAAATTTGGTAATGTCATCTTTGTTTGCACTAGCGAAGAGTTGGGAGGTGTTTCTGCTTTTGGGTTCATTTTTAACAAATCTGTGACTTTGGTATAGACCTGAGATCTGCAACCTTTGGTTGTCACCAGTGGGGAGGGTTGCTACTAATACCAAGAGGGCAGAGGCCAGCGATGTTGCTAAACATCTGACAATGCACAGAACAGCACCTACAACAAGGTATATCCAACTCAAAATGTCAACAGGGCTTAGGCTGAGACCCTGGGATAGCCCCATTTCAACTGTTCCATTCAATAATGAGAATGCATAATAGAGTGAAACTTGAATATCTTAAACATTTGCCCAAAAGCATACTATATGCAAACATGTAGACCTTCAGAACTCTTTTTCAGTCCCCATCAGCATCGAGATTACATGTCCTAGGAAATAGGTGGGAAGGAACAAAAACTCCAATGTACACTAGCCCTTCCTGTTTCTGAGCTTCTCCACCCCGCCCCCCACCCCTCCCCCACATTTCATGTCTCTTCTAAGCACAGAGGTAATCAAAGCTTAAAGTGGAAGAACCCGGTTAAAATGGTGCATGAAATGCACTGTTCCATGCTGTCACAATCAAGGAGGGAAAGAGAAGGACAGGCACCCAACTTCCTCCACTGAAGGTGATTCTGTGTATAATTCTTCAAGGCCAGACTATGGCCTTCTTCCAATGTCCCATCATCCTGCTTTCTGCTCATAACAGCCCCTATCACAAAATGATATACTCTAAGAAAAATTTTTTAAAAATATTTCCTTAAATTACATTTATAACTAGGAAATGAAACATGAATGGTTAATGAGCTTCCCCTCAGTCCCTCAAACTTTAGACATCTATCACATTTGCTATTCACAAAAAATACATTTATTTTTAAATGTCATAGAAACGTAATAGTCGTTTATGATCATGCCTCCTCTTGCCTGTACATTGATGGTTTCTTTCTTTTCCTTCAGATGGTTTCCCATTCATTCTTTCTCTCCACACACATTCCCTGGGACATCCTGCTGTCTTCTGCAGAGAATCCAGACACAGTGAGAATATTTCCATCTCATAAGACCCCAGAACTCCATCCTCTTCCCTCATATGGTGAGGTCTAACCTGGAGAAAGAAGGGAGCAGAACTTTCTGGTTAGGAGTACCTGAACAGCGCCCCCCAACTGCTCCCCCAAAACCCACCTCTCCTGTATTCCACTGAGTGTTCCTTTAAGAAGTGCTGCCCTTTGCTAACATACTCAGGTGCACTTCTGTTCCTTTTAATAAGACCAGGACGATCTGTCCCAAGTTCCTAAAGGAATTTTAGCTCTCTGCATTCGTGTGTTAAAAAACTTAAGCGGCAGGGACCGGTGAGGGATGCCAGGGGCTACGTTTGGGCTGGACAACAATATTTCCCGACAATATTTCCCCCTCTCGGCCTCTGTAGCCGCCCGTGTACCAATGAAGTGACTACCTCCATCCCCTGCGGTCAGTGTCAAGATTTCGCCGGACCTGGCCGAGTCTGTGTCTTCCTGCCTTCGTAAGTCTCAGGAAGCTGTAGTTCTGGATTTTTTTAAAAGAAGGTACAGTTCAGCTCCAACATTTCCTCCCTCTGGTGACAGGAGAATGCCAGCTCTTCGCTTTCACCCCAGGAGGAGAAGGATGCAGGGCTGCTGGGGCTTTGCTAAGAAAGTGCAAACGGCCTGGTGATTACTGGCTTCCCCCCTCGGACGGAAAAATGAGATCATGATTTTCACGGACAGGAACCGCCGCCGCCGCGGAGGCCGCCGCCTCCCCTCCCTGCGCGGGGCCCGCGTGACATCACCGGTGAGCGCTGCCGGTGCGGGCGGAGGAAGCAGCCCCGGACCCAGTAGGATCCACCGGGAATAACGGGGGTGCAGCGGGCGGGGGTGCGGGAAGAGGAGAAGACAAAAGCAAGACCAGGTTTCCCACCAAGGCCCTGAGTGTGGCTTCGAGGGGGAGGGGGTGCTGCAAGGGCGTCACATCCTTACGTGGCCGCACCCCAAATCCCGTTCGCGTCCTGCCCCACCCTCCAGCCGCCCTCACCTCCCAATTCCAGCAAAAACCGGTATCCAAAGCGGCGGAGGGAGCTGCCTCCACAGGCCCCAGGGGGACGACAGAGACACTTCCGGGCCTGGGAGGACCCAGGCAGGCACCCGCATTTGGGGGGAGTGGGGTGAAGGCGGTCGCCGCTGCGCCCCCGGGGCCCAGCCCACGGCGCCTCCCCCGCCCGGGGACAGGAGGGGGGGGAGGCCGAAGCGCCTCCTCCTCCTCCTCCTCCTCCTCCTCGTCGCCGGAGCCGACGCTGCGGCAGAGGGCAAGGCAGGCGCCTCACCTCGCCCCCCATGAGGGGCGGGTCATGCCATGGCAGCGGCGGCGAGCGGCGGCGGCGGCGGCGGCGAGCGGCACTCCGCCGGCAGCCCCGGGAGCTCGGCCGGAGCCGGGGCCGCTGCGCCGGCGGGAGCCGGGGACGGCGGGGACGCGGGCGGCCGCAGCGCGGCGGGGACGGCGCCCGGCCTCCCCGCGCTCGAGGACTACGAGTGCAAAATCTGCTACAACTACTTCGACGCGGACCGGCGCGCGCCCAAGCTGCTGGCGTGCCTGCACACCTTCTGCCAGGAGTGCCTGAGCCAGCTGCTGCTCCGCGCCGCCGCCGCCGCCGCCGCGCCCGAGCGCCCGCCGTCCTGGCACGGCCCGCCCGGCGCCATCGCGTGCCCCGTGTGCCGCCACCGCACGCCGCTGCCCGACAGCCGCGTGCACGGCCTGCCCAGCAACACCAAGCTCGCCGAGGCCTTCTTCCCGCTGGCCCTGCGCGCCGCGCACGACCCGCTGCCCCAGGACCGCCTCCCGCCGCTGCCCGCCCGCCGCCCGCCGCCCGCTGCGCTCCCGCCGCCCGCCCCGGCCCCGGCCCCGGCCCCGGCCCCGCCGCCAACGCCCCGGGAGGACGCCGCCCGCCAGCCCCGCGCCCGCGCCGGCCTGCGCTCCTCCTCGGGCGCCTACGAAAGCTGCCATCACTGCAAGCGCGCCGCGCTCACGGCGGGCTGCGTGTGCGTCGTCTTCTCCTTCCTCTCCATGGTGGTGCTGCTCTTCACCGGCCTCATCTTCGTCAACCACTACGGCGGCGGCGGCGGCGGCGGCCCCGGGGGACCCCCCGGAGGCGGGGCGCCCGCTGGCGCGGCCCAGGCTGCCGCGTCGCCGTCGCTCGTGGGACCCATCTGCCTGTCGGTGGCCAGCATCCTGGCGCTCTTCTCGGTGGTCGTCACTTGGCTCATATGCTGGCTTAAGTACCGGACCCCCGAGGGCGCGGCCGCGGGCTCGGCTGGGGGCGGCGGCCGGAGGACGCGGGCGGCGGCGGCGGCGGGCGGCGTGCGGGGAGAGCGGCACAGAGTGGGGTGACTCGCCGCCGGGTCTCCCGCCTGCACGCACCTTCGATCCTGCGAGGCCCGCGAGGAGGGGGCCTTTGGCTCCGTGCGCTCGAGCTTCTCCGGCCTCTCTCCGTGGTTCCCCGGGTCGCGCACCCCCTCGCCGCCCCGCCGCTCCGGGACTTCGGCTTCACGCCCCGCCTCCTCCACGCTGGATCGGAGACATCGGGGAGGCGGGGATGCAAGATCAACCTCCGTTCCAGGCACCATCCCCATCCTCTCCAGCGCGGAGTGCTCTGCCTCCCTTCCCAGAGTCGGAGGATTTGCAAAGAGAGCTGGAAAGGGGAGTGGGACCCCCTCCGCCCCGCCGCGCCTTCAGTTTCTGTAAGCGTGCAGGTGCGCGCGCACACGCGGCTGCAGCAGTTGTGATTGCCAATTGTCCGGTGGGAAAACGGATGAGATGCAAACAGAGGAAGGTTTCCCCGCTTCCTGGGGGTGCTGGACAGCGAGTGAGCTGGAGCGCCCGGAGCGGTGATTACTCCCCGAGGGCACACCTCCCGCCTTCAGCCGGGCGCGCAGCGGCAGGTGCAAAGCGCGCGTGCGCGCTCCGGGGTGCGGGCGGCCGCGCGAAGCGCTCCAGGCGAAGGATCTTGCTGCCCGGACCCCCGCAGAGACCCAAAGGTCCTGGAAGCTGGGCTCCTGGAACTTGCGGTGGTTTTATGCGCGGCGTTACTACCAGGAAGTAATTTCCTCCTCGGTCACTGGACTCAGGGAAATTCACGAGCCTGTTCTCCATCTCGTCTCAAAACTGACTTACTGTTGCCCCCACCTGGAAGATATTGAAAGCTATTCACGCAGAAAATAAACTGCAGGCTTCCTTCGCCCCCTTTCCTTAATTTCATTTAAAATATAATTTATTTTAAAATATATGCATCTGGAAATTTTTAGAAAAGATGTTTGATGAGCAGTAACATTTCTTCCATACCTCCAGTCCAAATACATTTCGAAATTATCCGGAAAAAAAAGGCGTGTTCGTAACTGATTCAAGATTTTGTACTGTGAAACTACTAACGACTTTCAACTATCTGATCAAATAGAAATAGTGCCCAAAGACTGAAATGACAAGTCTTTCTTCCTTCGTTTACAAATATATATTACATTTAACAGAAAAATATTTTGAATTTAGCTATTTGATATAGGAAATTACTGAAATGTTCACATCCAGTCATATTAAATAAAGAATACATATCTGTCTGATTTTGTAACTAAAAAGATGAATTTCAATGTGTGTTGCAGGTAGATCCATAGCTTTTTAAGGTAAAAAAAAAAGAAAAGAAAAAAAAAAAAAAAAGAACCACCACACACCAGGTGTATTTTATATGAAAACATTATTCCATCTTTTGAGATTTGGAATAAGTCGAAGTTTTCATACCTAAGCATCACAGAAACTACTGAGGATGTACTGTTATTCCTCATGTATTTATGCAAACTGTCTGCATGATATTCTGACACTATTCTAGTACCTGAACTTGAATGAATATTTGTATCTATCATAGGAAGCAGTCATTTACTGGCCATTGATAAGTGATATGGCTATGATTTAGGAACTGCAAAATGATGTGTTCTATGTCTGCATTGTCTTAATTAAAACAAGAAGCATTTATAGAAAAAACCTATTTTTATGAAATTTATTTCATGAGGGAATTCCTTCAAGTTATTTGTGTGCCCTTTCTTTCCTGAAATACACAATCCCATAAAATACCCACCCTAGCAATGTACATTCCCACATGTGAGTTAGTTTTCTACCAGCCCCATTCATATTGTGAATTTAGGGTTTGGGATTGTTTCTAGGTTTTAATAGGACTTCTGAAGGTCTAATGAGATCTATTCTGGAGGGAAAAGTTGCTTCCATCCATTACTATATAAGATTTTTGTTCTCAATTTCTGCAAAATGTTTTTAGGTTCCTAATACTAAGGATTACATTTCAGAGATTGGTATTAATTTCTACTTGGTATTAATTTGTATTACTTGGTATTAATTGGTATTAATTTCTACTTCCAACAAGTAACTTGTGTTACTTCTATATTAGCTTTTATCTTTTATTCTTTGTTTACCTCCAGATACTCAGATTCTGTTTATATTCACACCTGTTTAGTTTTACAAGTGTATCTACACATGTGTATGTATGTATGTATGTATGTGTACACTAGCATGTGCCTTTGTGGATGCGACCATGTATACATATGAGCACACACATTTGTTATTTCATTCCCTTAATTTAGCAGCCTGGAAGTTTATCTAAAGTTACTTAGGGACCAGCTTGCTCTCTCTACATATATTTCATTGATTTCAGAGAGGAAGGGAGAGGGAGAGAGAGATAGAAACATCAATGATGATCAGCTGCCTCCTGCACACCCTACACTGGGAATCGAGCCCATAACCCAGTCATGTGCCCTGACCAGAATCGAACCGTGACTTCCTGGTTCATAGGTCCATGCTCAACCACTGAGTTATGCCAGCCAGGCCCAGCTTGCTTCTTTTAGAGTATATGTAATGTTCCACAGAGGAGGGTAAATCCGTGACATAAATTAAATTATCCCTCATAAATAAGAAATACATTTTTAAATCATCTTAGTTGCAATGCAAGCAACATTTTGATTCTTTCATGGTTGCACATATAAATGTCATGTAATGAGAAATTTGAGGTAGAACACTTTAAAATCAAACATATGATTACTAGCTCATCACCTAAACGTGGAGTGATTCTTTTTCTTAGCTGACCTTGTTTTGTTGTTCATTTCTGACTTTTAAGGAATCAAGTGGCGCAGGATGATAGAAAACATTTGTTTGTTGTCTGGTGATTTTCTGATATTCTGATGTTCCCCTATTCTGCAGGTGTGATTTAATTATTTCCGCCTACATCATGCAAAAAGTCTTGCACAAGGGTATCTTAGAGCAAGTGTTTAGGAAGTAAGTGTTGAAATGATCAGTGGGTTGTCTGGAAGCCTCCTGGTGGCAGTGAAGTACATTTTTCCCTTCCCATTTTCATCTTCTTGGAAGAGCTTAGTTCAGTCCTGGACTCATCTCCAGCTCATGAGTATAAACTACAGGTCAAGTCACTGCAAGAAAAAAGACCTTCTCAGCCTGCACACTTGCTCAAGAATCATGGTCCTCATGGCCCAGATTCTGTCTAGGTTCTGGGTTGCAGGTTAGGATTATCATCATGCTTCTATAGAGTCTAAATTTCAAGTGACAAAACCTCATCTTGTAGATGATGAATTAAATACTTGGCCTCTGAATGCAATATGATCTGGGGAACAATGTCCACTCCCAGAAAGAACACTGGGTTTGGGGTCTAAAGACCATTAACTGTATCCAGAAAATGTGAGTCTGGATACTGATCTCTCCTTTCTTTGAGCCTCAAAATCCTCATCTATAAAATGGGAATAGAAAGTACCAGTTCTGCTTGCTTCTTTGTGGGATTTGTGTGAGGATTTCTACACATAAGAGAGTATATAAATGAACTGCTTTGGAAACTAGAGCCTTATGTGGATCTGTGGTCTTGTTTTCATTCAGGTCCCCAAGGCTGTAATAAATACCACCTTCCCAGAGAGGTTTACCCTGACCACTCTATCCCAAATGTCTACCCATTGAAGTTTTATTTTTTTTCTAATGCAACCACCTATATTTGTTACATTCTTTATCTCAATCTTCTGTAACCAAAATGTGAAAACAAGTAAGGAACCCTGTCTGCTCACCCACTCTATTCACAAAGCTTTAGCCAGTTCTCAGCACATAATAAGGGGCCCCTAAATATTGGGTTGAGTTGGCTGAATGGGAAACTCCCCATTGACTCTTCAACAACTTGCTCCCCTCCCTCATACTGTCACTCAGTACATCCTCAGATCCTGGATGACTTAATTGTTTTTCCCTACTTCATGAGGATTTGTGAAAGGTGAAAAAATATACTTGAAAGGCCCTTTGCATTTTGAGAAAGGTCAATATTACTATGGTGAAACTTTTATTGCACTGTATTCAGTGACAGGAGCCACTGGAGAGACTAAAGGACATTTGATCTCAATTTCCCATGTTTTCTGCACTGTGAGATTTCAAGGTCTGACTCCTTTTAATTTCCTGCATATGAGCCTGTCTGCACCATCCTCTCCAAAACTGACAGCACCTGCAAAGTCAGAACAAGCTTACATTGCGGTGAAATTTTCCACGATATGGAGAACAAAATATGTCGAATTTTACATTACTTGTTACTCTCCATAGTTATTCTTCAACCTTTGTCATTTAAAATAAATTTTCCTTCCAAGACTTGCTATATTTACACACTCAGTAACAGAATAATCCCCCATTATTTTACGACCCAACTAATACCCTTTTAAATCATGTTTCCCATTAGCTAATATTTGTATTTTAAATTTATGTCATACTGCACCCCTGCTAATTATGCATTTACATTTCTTCCTTTGAAATAATATGTTTTTATTGTATATGTTAGAGTGTAAATTTGATGGATGTATAATATTTACTACAGTAACCATTTCTGAAAAGTGTTAGAAATAACTGCAGCCAGATCTTGGTTCGAAATTATGTGAATAAGGAAAATATGAGAACGATTTCATCTGTCTTTTACTTGATCTCATTTGATTGTCCATATTTAAAAAGCTTTGTTAATTGTTACTATTCATCAAAAAACGCTCTTATTCTGTTATGCAAAACTAAAATATGCCGAAGAGAAGCGAATTTGTTTCCATGATAAATTTATAATTATTCCTGATGATAAGATACATTTTGGGAAGTGAGGGTGGTCAATGTCTAACTTCCAAGAATATTTCTAGGAGCTTAGGAAGATTGTGTACACTCCCTTTAGAAAAAAAATGTCTTTTCAGGTAAAATTGGATTATCTTTGGTTTAGAAATACCCCATCTCCCTGGGATAGAAGTGGGAGAGCGTAGAACGGGGAGGGGATGGGGAAGAGGGTAGAGAAAATATGCAACCAAGTTGTCATCGCTATTATTATAAAACCACATCACCAAATAAACAGAAGAGGCAGTGTCTAATCAATACAGGGACAGAACACGTTTATTTCAACAGCCATGGTAATGTATGGTGGCCTCTTACCACCATGACAATGAGTACGCTCCATCATATAGAAGTATGATTTATATTCTACTGTGTGTGCATTGTATTTTTTAATATATTTTATTGATTTTTTTACAGAAAGGGAGTCAGAAACATCCATCAGCCGCCTCCTGCACCCCACCCTACACACACTGGGATGTGCCCGCAACCAAGGTACATGCCCCTGACCGGAATCGAACCTGGGATCCTTCAGTCCGCAAGCCAACGCTATATCCATTGAGCCAAACCGGCTTTGGCCTATGTGTGCGTTTTTAAAAACTTGTAGTCAAACTTGACAGGTAGGGAGCAATTGTACCTGACTTCAGTTTTGTGGAAGATTTAATTCCAAATGAGCAGTAGACAGCTATTAATTGGGAAGACAATTTTGGACGGAGCTCTGCAAGGCAAACGATTTGTCCCGAGAACCCTTATTAAGTTCAGACACAGACAACTTATTTCCTTAGCGGAAGCTCCCAGCTCCCAGGCCGTAGGTTGAAAGCACCTGGAGAGCAGAAACAAACAGCCGCGGAAGCACCCGCCCAGCCCCCTGGACGCGAATGGAATTGGCCTGGGGGGTTGGGGGGGGAAGCGCTTCTGTATTTTAAAAAGCGCCCTAGGCGATTGACCGCGCAGCCAGATCTGAAAGCCTTTCTATTTCACAGCGTATTTATTGAAATGCGACGCTCTTCCTAATCTCACTTTAATGAACTAAACGGCGCCGCCCCGGTTTCTTAGAAAAACTGAAGATCCTGGACCAGTGCTTGGATTTTGGAAGTAATTTGGAGAACTACTTAATCTCTCTCTCTCTCTCTCTCTCTCTCTCTCTCTCTCTCTCTCTCTCTCTCTCTCTCTCTCTCTCTCTCTCTCTCTCTCTCTCTCTCTC